CTACCACTTGAGCCACAGTGCCACTTCCGGCTTTTTTTCTTTTTGCTTATGTGATGCTGAGGAATCGAACCCAGGGCCTCATGCATGCAAGGCAAACGCTCTACCACTGAGCCACCTTCCCAGCCCAAGGTATTTAATTTTTATCCCAGTCATGTTCACAAATGAGAGCTCTGGATTTTAAATCCTTTCAACTCTCAATCCAATTGCTTTTAAATTCAAGGAGAGATTCAGGAAGACAAAAAGCCATCATTCCAGAATTTTGGCAGTCTATGAGTTTGTAAAATGAAAACAAATAAATATCAATTATCTCTAGGAATTTAGTTATGTGTGTACATTCACTTATGTCTTTGTGTATTGGTATGGCGTATATATTGACTGTGTGTCTATTGATCCATAAATGTGTGTATATTCTTTCCAATGTTGATATTCATGTTTAAATGGTGCATTTATACAGCCTTTATAGGATTGCCCACTGTTACCTTATCTTTTTGACTGGCAATGATGGGATTTCAGTCATGCTCAACCTTTCCGACAGTGCCAGAGATGGGATTTTTTTGAAATCTTATTACTGGTTGCACTGCCTTGATCTCAGATGGAACTTTCAATCAAAAAGGCAATCATAAGGTTATACATTCGTGAGATTCCCTGCGAAGCCAGTGATCGCATAATACAACTTGTTGGAAGGGACTACTTGCCTCCAGTCCTTATGGGGCTATAAAAAGTAATTGGCTACTTAGCTCTCAGCACCCGCTTTTCCTTCTCCAAAATACAGCAGAGCCCAGCACTCTGTTGTGTCTCAGTGTGGAATCCGGCTGCTCCTAGGAGATTTCTCAGTCTCATGCCGAGACTCGTCTTACTTTAAACATATGATTAAGCAAACTCTCTCAAAGACACATCTGACTATTTCTAAACATTCTTGCTTTACTGGTGAAGCCGGTGAGTCTATGTTTTCTTTTCTTTTATGTGTACATGTCAATTTGCCCATTTATTTTCTTCTAAGACATACCGTAAATTTCATACTCTACAAATTGCAGTTCTGATTGAGAAAGGTAACACGTGTTAGTCATCTTGCTATAGATTATTTTTTTTAATTACAGTAACAGCATTCATAATATAAATTATAATGAAGAGCCTCTTATTTTCCCATGACATGTGAGGTTGGAGGGTTGAGGGATGTCTTTGTGATTTGGTCTTGTCACATAATAGACAGCATTGAGATCGAATGGATCCCATGTGGTCGCCAATCACCAGAGATGACTCAGTTCCCTTGACAGGAGCCACTCAGTCACGTGGTAGGCAGAAGAGGATAATTCTACTTCATTTGGCACTGAATTAATAGTTCTTTGCCATTAGGCAGAGAACCTTTCAAAGGATAGAAAAAGACTATTGTTTGGGATACACACAAACTCCTCAGACACAATGAAATGCCTATGGATTGAAGAAGTATTCTGTGTGAAAAATAACTCTCCATAGATGTGTGAGATACATACTGATGTGTTAATGCAGGCAGAACAGGAAGCAAGGCATGGCTACAAAATAATCTGTTTAATAAATTTAAAATGGTATTACTTCACATACTGAGGACTGAATGTGTGAAGTCCTCTTAAAGATTGGGATCTCATTTAACTCTTTAGGTTGGAAAAGTTCTGGAAAGCCAATTGCTAAAATAAAAGCTTCAGCAAATTGGTGTGTGTGTGTGTGTGTGTGTGTTCAGAATTTTATGTTCAGGATGTTCTAAAGATATTAGTATAGTCATATTATGAGCTACAACCATAGCTATATAACTGAATTTACTCCCTATTACAAAACTTGAAATTCACATTAATTCATAAATTGGGAGTAAGGTACTAGCAAAGGAAACTAGAAAATCGTTTCTCTATTCATTGTTTCTTCCTGGAGAATGTAAATTTTGTGGGAATATTTGGACAATTGGTACACAAGACAATATCTCCTTCCCCCCAAATCCTACAATGAGAGTTTATTATATTGATTTCCAGCATTCAAATATACAGAGTTTATGTTCCTAGAATAATAACTAGTTCTGTTAAATATGTTTGTTTTATCTATAGCACTGTAGTACAAATAAAATAGAAACAAGTCACTTGAACAAGATAAATCTCAAAAATATGCTTTTACCTTGCTTTAGAATATATATTGATTACTACTGAAACCACTATTAATAATTCACATTCACCAAGAGCTTTTCAAAGACACCGTGTGCTAAACTGAGGAATGAGAAATTAGATTGGACCCTTTCTTTGACTTCATGGAAGTGTTTAGTAGCTGATAGGATAAGCATAAAGCATCGATTGTTTTAAGACAATAAGCCTTAGATAAGAATTGGATGAGCCACAGTGTAGCTATGAAACTCCTGGGACAGTATGCAAACTTCCTTTCACAGAAAAGATGGGACCTCCAGTTTTCAAACCAAATTCATCTTTTTTCTGTATCAATCCCAAGCCTGTGACTTACAAGGCAGAAGACTAGAGCCTACTTTTGCCTAATGAGATATCTTGCTCTAATGGACATATTTCACTTGGGAGCCTTCTAGTAATGGAAGAGAATTTTGAGATCTAGACCATAGTCTGGGTCTCTCTTGTCAATTTTGGCTCTCTGGTTCTTTTATTTATTTATTTATTAAATTTTAAATCTGTAATCTTGTCTGAAGGCATTCCCTGCTCTTTCGTTTACTTTCTTTAAGGGACCCCAGGAGACAGTTGGACTACCTTTGAGATATTGTGTCTATATTTTAGGGCTCTGTTGTACGCTTGCATGGTAGTATTAGCAAGCTGTATGTCTTCTCTGATCATGATGACTATTACAAGTACAAGTTGTCATGGATATGAATTGGCTGAACGTTTTAGAATTTCAGTTAGAGCCGATAATTTTCATAATATGACTTGGTTTGGCTGGAAAAGAATGATGACAACAGAGGTATTTATAAAAATATATTTCACAAAGTAGGAAAACAATACAGGAGTTTCTCTGAATACAATACATGGAGTAAATAAACAATATTGCATTAAAGCAAAGTAGAAAATTAAAATGATCTGCATGTAATGCTTGAGTTTTATCATACATTTTCTACTCCGACATGGCAGCTTTGCATTACAAATTAAAAAGAATGCTCACATCTTCTACTTCTGTTCTTTTTCTCTTTTTTCCTTTCTTTTTATTTTTCTCTTGTAGTCTAAGATACTCTGTGTATCACCATGATTGGGGACAGAGATGCTAAAAACATAAGCAATAAAATTATGTACAAATTGGTTCCTGTTCTAAAAGAGTGGGGGCAACCCGAAACATGTTTATTGGGCAGGGACTTAGGTAAGTATCTAAAAGTCTAGAGTTTAAATATTCACAGGAGTCAATATACTTTCCGATGTTTGTGCTTGTAGTAAAAACACCAATTACTAGGAACAAAATAGAAAACAGTCTAAAAGTTTCTCTGGGAAAATGCGATTTCTGCCATTAACCAGTCACAATAACACTTTCTACTCTAAAGAGACTATAAGCTCTCCTTTTGATAATATTGCCTGCCATACTTATCTCATCAAAATGTACATGTATTAAACATTCATTGTATATATATATATTCATATAAAACAATCTAAAGGATTATTAATGGATATCATTTACGCTTTTCCCATATAGTCCTTTAATCTATAGATTACCAACCTTAATAAATAAAAGCATTAATGAACATCGATAAAATATTTATTTTTGAAGATTAAACAAATAAATTCACGCGCTAGCCGTAAAACCATCTGTCTCTGATGTCGTTCACTGTGGGATACAGTTTATCTCTGTGTTCCCCTAGAGGAAGGATGAAGTGGGAAAGAGCCAGGAGGAATTCTGCTTCTACAAAACAAGCCTGTTGGAATGGGATTTCTCTTTTCCCACCACTGACTTGACAAATCCCCCCACCCTGGAATGGATTACGAACATGTGAATATTTTAAGGCTCGACACAATATTTAAAGATGCTATTCAGTCTCTGGTGAGTGGGGCCCCAACAACTATGTACAATGTGTGGTCACCGTACCGTATAATCTAGGAGGCCTCCCCCAAACTCCCCAAAGTCATAATGTACAGCAGACCAAGTATTGCTTTAGCATTTGTGGTGAAGGGGGGAAAACAACCATTTGCATTCATTCATAAAAATTCTTGCAGCAGACACAAATCAGCAGCAGATTCCTTGCAGGTCCATTTTTGTTTTTGTTTTTTTCCTAAGAAAGCACCTTTTAATTTTGATTTCTTTTTCCTCTTTTTTAAAACCATTTCTCTAAGGATTAGCAGGGAAGACAATCTTTGCCTGTGGTGGTCAAGTAAATATCAAATATCCAAAGACTTCTAGACACTCCACATACTTAAGTCACACTCCACAAGATCGATAACCTCCTAACATAAACTTTTTTATTCTTATTCTTATTTTTTTTGGTTCAACATTAAAATGTGGTTGAGTTTATAGATGATTGGTGCTAAACTTGCCTCTAAAAAAACAAATAGCCACATTGGTTGTATCTAAGGGGCGTGACCCTAGAATATTACAGAATGCTCAGTTCCATTGATTGATTTATGATCCACTGTCAAGTTTCTTTGTCACTTTCACCAACAGAGTAGAGTTCGCCCAGTCTCTTAAAGCGGGGACCCCAGTCACTGAGGTAGTCAAAATTCTGGTCTGAGTCTGATGTGGTGGACTCCAGAGAGCTCAGGGAGCCCGCCACAGACCCTCGGCCTTCATAGCCATAAATCTGAATGGAGTCGTAGGGCGGGGCTGTAGGGTCATTGTCTGCCTCATGAAGCCTTACATTTATAAATTCATCGACATCAACACCATTTGGAACTGGAGCAAGCCCTTGCCTTGGCATAAACTGCAAATCTGGTTTAATATCCTTACGGGGTAAAAATCCATTAATTCCATCTGGGTTTTGTAAAGTTGCAATGTCAAAAGCCTCGGTGTCCTCCTCCCCTCCTCCTTCGTCGTCGTAGCGAATGATGTTTTCTCGAACGTCTTCGTCATCTTTGATAATTAATGGCTCGTTTTTATGCCGCCTCAGTGTTACAAACAGCACCACGATGACTGAAGAGGAAAAAGAAATCTGATCACAATGAGCGAAATAATCACATAAACCTAAAGAACAGTTGGCCAAATATCACAGAAGAATTTATAAGGACCAGATGATGTATGTTCAAAGGAAAGCCAAAGTAAAACCAAAAACCAAAAAAGTAATCTTAGGCATCCTTATCAGGGAATTAATCTAGCCTCTTTTGTGACGAATAAACACTAAGGCTTCAGTAAATGTTATTCCAGATTACTTCTTTTTATGAAGTAATGACGGAATTGGCTCAAATAGATTTCCATTTACTGTTCGTGAAAATTACATTTCACAGTGGTCTAGCGCTAGACAGACGATCACATAGATAATAACTCTTTGTACATAGTGAGTACATCACTTAATATTCTTTGGTGTAGGTCTATTGTCTATATTTGTTTTTACTTTTTTTTTGTTCTTGATTTTGTTTATTGGCTGGTCCTGGGGCTTGAACTCAGGGACTGGGCACTGTCCTTGTGCCTTTTTGAGTTCAAAGCTAGCATTCTATCACTTGAGCCACAGCATCACTTCTGCAATTTTCTGAGTGCTTTATTGGAGACAAGAGTTTCATGGATTTTTCTGTCCAGGCAGGCTTTGAACTGCCATCCTCAGATCTCTAGCTCCTGAGTAGCTAAGATTCAGGCAGACTTTTTTTTTTTTTTAAACAAGAAATAGGTATGATGGTAGTTCCAACTACTCAGGAGATAGAGGAAGGATATTTTATGTGAATTATAAGCTAAAAGGAAAAATATTGAAGCTATGTCTCAGATGGTAGAGTGCAAGGCCCTGAGTTCTTATAGCAGAGTTCAGTTTTAATCCCCAGTACTGGGGGAAAAGAAAAACAAAGAAACAAACAAGGAAAAGGAAGAGAAGGAGAAAGAGAACTAGATCTTACTTAGTCTGATTTGTGTTTTGGCATCTGAGTGTGTGTGTGTGTGTGTGTGTGTGTGTGTGTGTATGGTGTTCAGAATGGAACCCAGGACCTCAGCGAGCTGTTCAAACAATTTTGACTGAGGTATATTTTACTCCATGTTTTTTTTAGCAATTTTTAAAATTACTGATCAATTGAAAATCAGGTTTTTGTTTTCTACAGAACAAGCAAATATCAAAGTTTTATGGATAAGTTTGTTTTACTCTCATGTGACATTTTATTTTCAAAGTGATATACAGAGGGGTTACAGTTACATAAGAGTAAATTTCTTTATATTGAATAAAGACTGGAACTTCTTTTTTTTAACCTGGAAAGTAGACCCAGTGCTGGGGAAAGGAAATGAACATTCATAACCAACTAGGTTATCAAAATGAAACTTGATAATGGAGTAAAATTGTTAATGATGGAATACTTAAGCTCAAGACACATGTAACTGGTAGGACAGCCACTGACATCATCCTTAAAATGTTCTATTCTTCAGTGGATAAGACTCTGCAGGTATTGCCCTACCATCTTTTTATTGCTTTTTTTTCTTTTCAAAACATAGTCTATGTATCCCAGATATACCTGTTTCTCTATTTTTTTAAAGTTGGAATCATCTCTTTTTTTATTCTCTAAATTGTTCTGTCTCAGTCTCCATAGTGGTGATTACAAGAAATACCACCATATCCGGTCTTCATTTTGTTTTCTTAATTGGGTTTCTTAGTGATAGGACTATAGAATGTTCTCTCTCTGTCTCTGTCTCTGTCTCTCTCTCTCTCTTTCTCTCTCTCTCTCTCTCTGCCAGTACTGGGGCTTGAACTCAGAGGCCTGGGCACTGCCCCTGAGCTGCTTTTGCTCAAGGCTCACATGCTACCACTTGAGCCACAGTACCAATTCTGGCTTTTTCTGGTTACGTGCAACTGAGGAATCCGACCCAGGGATTCATGAATGCAAGGCAAGCACTCTACCATTAAGCCACATTCCCAGCCCAGAACCTTGCTTATAATTTGAAATCATCACTTTAATTTTATGTTAATTAAAGTAACTGTGGCATCTAATTTCATTTTAAACAAAGCATAGTTCTTTTTGTCTGTTTTCTCTTTATTTCACCAAACTCTAGAATCAATAATCCAGTTTGTACAGTGTTAAGATGCAATAGTATTGGGGAAGTACTTTATGTGCATCATGTGAACTGGAGGTCTTCCTACATATTAGATGAGATGATAAGCACAAAAATGCTTATTCTAGCTTCCACTGCTATGATGCTTTATTACTTTTCCCCACTTTTACCCTGATAATGAGATTGAAAGCTCTGTTTAATTGGATGACTTCCAGTACAAACTTATCTCTTCACCTCCTATCAGTGACTACAATATATGGTTGAAGATAGATTGTCTTCAATAAAGTAATATTGCCTACACTCCAGGTTGGAATTTACTATCCACTGACAGTCATTAAAGAGACAGAATGATGGCGATATAGGTTATGAAGAGATTACGTACCGAGCAGCAAAATGATACAGGCTAATATAGCAATTAAGGCTCCCATACTGAGTCCAATTGGAAGGACGTAAGCTTCCACATTACAAGACTGTACAACACCATCATTGCTGCAACCACAGACCCGGATCGTCAGGGTGCTGGTGCTGCTCAGCGGTGGATTCCCACTATCACTGATTACGATTGGTAAAAGATAAACTTCTTGCTTCTGCCGGTTGAATCCATTATGCTTTGCCAAAATACTCAGAGAATTATCTGGAAAAGGGGAAAATTACAATAAATTGTGTCACTTCAAGATGTCTGTCCAAACAACACTTGAGTTTCCTAAGTTTTAATTATACTTTGTAAATCCTCCGCAAACGTTAAGACAATCCCAGCAGCATGGGGCCTATTAGAATTTTCCTCTTTTTAATCTTTTCAGTTTTCAAATAGCATGAACCAAAATATGCACCACATGATTGAATGAACAGAACACCATAATGAGCATGTGGAGTTTGACTTCTCCTTTTAAAAGCGAGGTATTTATTGCAAAAGAAATAAACTTTCAAACTCCTTCTAGAACATGTACATTATTCCAAGTCCTTTTAGAAGACACACATTAATCCATGTCAGCATGAATCTTGAAGTTTCCAATGTACATGGCAAAATTGACTCCTTAGAATTTTACCACGTTGGATAGAACTGAGAAGTTCTGTATTCAAAGACCGACTGTATGGTAATAGAACATGCAAAATTATAAAGCTGTTGACCTCTGCAACATCTAATGTGTCTCTTATGTCCTAGAGCATTCATAATAAGGAATATCAAAAGCCTCCTTTACTGTCAGTTGGAGGTGAGACATCACACATTTAAATTCCATAGACTCACTTGTACAACACTTTTTCACAAGTAAGAAAAAGGTGAAAAGTCATATATATACATATATGTTTTATGTATCTATATCATCAGTTACATATATCTTTATAATTATAATTACATAATATACATATATGTTATCTGGAGCAATATTGAAAGATATTTTGTTAAGCAGTACTTAATGATACAACTTTGCTATGAAGTTAATGCTGTCCATGAGAGAGGATTGATTCCATGTTGTTCTTGTGGTTCTCAAAATCTCACCCATAATAAAGTTTTTGTTGGTCAGTTATCCCCATCTCTTGAAAACTACCATCATTGAGTTCTTACTATTTATCAATGTTTCTCATTCTGATTGATGAAAGACACCTGTTTACGCAATATAGGGACATTGATTATCTAACATTGCCCTCCTACCTAAAAGCAAGTAGAAAACTGAGCATCTGGTGGCTCTGGCCTATAATTCTAGCTACTCAAGGAGGCTGAATTCCAGAGGCATCCTGGGCAGAAACTCCACAAGACTCTATCTCCAAAACATCTAGCACAAAGGTAGGTGGAAAGTGTGATTCAAGTTATAGAGCACAAGCCAGTGAGCCAAGCAAGCAGACCATGCAAGTATGAAGATCTGACTTCAAGCTCCAGAGCCATACACACACCCAAAATATCTAATTTTGGTTACTAAGGTAATGTTATTTGGGCAAAATTATTATTTCTATTAGATTGTTTTAGGTATCCCAAATATCCAGACTTCAAAATACTAGTCTACCTCATTGTTGAAAAGTAAAACAGTGACTTCAAACCTTTGTTGTCAAATTTCTGGTCATCATTGATTTACTGATTTTCAAAATACTCAAATACATGGTCATAGATCCTTGTGAAGTGGCTTTGCTATGCTCAGTCTTACCATATTGGGATAGTACACTGATATTTCCTGAAAATAATACTCACTTACAAGTTAGATGTAAAAGATATAGTAAGTTCAAGATATAACAAACCTATAATGCAATACTACTAGGTGATCAAATAGAAAAAGCACCCTTTGTCAACAATTATTTTTTCTAATATGCTTGGTTTTGTTTCATTATCCAATCATTTGCAGAGCAAAAAGACTTGTACTGCCTCATGGAAACAACAACTAGCAATCTTTATTGTCATGACTTAGAAGAAAATAATAATCAGTTAAAAGTAGGAGACATATCATAAAACAAGTCTCAGAATATAGTTTCAGAATTTGTGTGATAAGTGTGAGTGTAGCTAATTGGTACAGATAACATATGTGGATATTTTCATAGTTTAAAACTGAGGATGTGAATTGTTCTTCAAGATGCAATTAATTAAGTTAGAATTAAGCTTTAGTCTTTTTTAATTTAAATTTTATTATAAAAGTGATGTACAGAGAGGTTACAGTTACATAAGTCATTCAATGAGTACAGTTCTTTTTGAACACTGTTACCCCCTCGCTCATTTTCTCCCACTTTTTTGCCTCCCAACCTCCCTCCCCATGAAGTTGTAAAGTTCATTTCCAACACAGTGTCTAGTGAGTATAACTTGGATTTGTTTACCCTTCCTCCCACCATTTTTGTGATTCCCCTCCCTTCCTTAAATCAGATAAACTTATATATAAGATACAGAATACAGAAATAAATTTAAAAAAACAGTGACATCAGGGAATAAAAAGGGGGAAAAAGAAAGAAAAAAGAAATATCTGAAAACAGTACAATTAAAATAAACCCCAGAACCTCTTGTTTCCATTTCTTGGAGCTCATTTTGATAAACATTAGTTTGTATGGCTGCATGCACATAGCTATTGAGCCATTGTGATCTCAGAGAATATCCTAGACATATGCCAGTTATTACAAATGAGGGAAACCATGCAGCCTATGCTTTTTTGGGTCTGGCTTACTTCACTTAATATAACTTTTTTCCAAATCCTTCCATTTCCTTACCAATGGGGTAAGGCCATTCTTTCTGATGGAAGCATAGATTTCCGTTCTGTACATATATCACATTTTTTTTGATCCACTGAAGAGCATCTGGATTGATTCTGTATCTTAGCTATGTTAAATAATGTTGCGGCAAACATGGTTGTGCTGGTGGCTTAAGTGCAGGATGGTTTGTAGTCATTTGGGTAAATGCCAAGGAGTGGGATTTCTGGGTCATAGGTGAGCTCTATGTTTAGTCTTTTGAGGAACCACCATGCTGTTTTTAGCCTTTTTGGTTGAAATTATTAAAATAAAGAAGTATCATTACAGATAGTCTTTAGCCTATAGTAATACTTTGAAACTGAAGCAGGAATGTAGGTTGTTTCTGGACAATACCATCCCCTTCAATATTTAGTAAAGCATTTATACATCTAATACTTCTCTCTTATATTTCTTTATTAATGTTGGAGTATGTACATGCTTTCCTGCTTTGTATAAGGATATTAATGACTAAGTAAAGGGCATGAATGAGTCCTTCTTGCTAATTTTGACCTGCTCCAGGCAATACCAATTCCTGTTTGTCTGCTTAGATTTATATTTTATTGATATTTGCATGAATTATTGATTTACTTGAGTTTTAAAGTATAATGCATTTATTATTGTGCCAATCAAAAATCCTAAAATAGCTAGGCATGGTGGCTCAAGTTTGTTATTTTAGCTACAAGGATGGTGAAAAGTAGATGGCTATGATTCAAGTACAGATAGGGGCATATAAAGTTACATTTGGATAATCTTATGAGATAAGCAGAAAAGCTCTAAAGCTATGTACATATGACCATATAAGATGATGCTAAGCTAGGCTTAATTTCTTGAAATGGCTTGGCACTGTGACCTGTGCTTATGAGCACAATGACTTGGTGAAGCACAAATAGAAGCATCACAGTCTAGGCTAGCCCTGGAATAAAGCAAGACCCTACCTTGAAAATAATGAACCCCAAAAGGGGCTTGATTAGAGTGGTTCAAGTGATTATAACCCATTACAACAATCCAAAAAATCAACTACCACACACACAAAAGCATAAGCTAACAGTTGTAGACAGTTGAAATTAATGCATTTGGAAAATTATAAAAAAGTTTCATATATTTCCTATAATGTTGCTTCTATACACAATTATCAATTACTGTGCTTAGTATTTTTAAGCATAAACACTCTTAATTATATAAATGGTCCTTCATAAGCTAACTTCTTGCTTTATATTATTATGCAGAATTTATTTGTTTTTTCCTATACTGGTAATGTATTTTCTCAAGGTGAATTGTGGTATAATTTATACCTCACCCAGTGAACCTCAATGATTAGCTTTTCACAATTCAAATTTTCTAAGTCTTCTATTTCAATAATCTATTTTTTACCTTGCATCAGTAAACCCTCTTTTTTTTTTGATTGTGAAAATACCGTACAGAGAGGTTACAATTACATGGGCAAGGTAATGAGTACATTTCTTATCAAGCATTGTTGCCTCCTCCTTTGTTTCTCCTTCCCATCCCTTCCCATCCTTCCCACGCCCCGCCCCCCAGCCAAAGTTGTAAAGTTCGTTTTTTCGACATAACATCTTGTACATCTCATTGTTGCAATGGGTCCACCTGTATCTCCATTTAAACGATTTGTTTTTTCCCTTCCCCTCCACAAATTATACCAACATCAAATACAGTGAAAACAGGGAAATCATCTTATAAATATATTAGAAACAATCGCAAGAAAGAAAAAACATTTAAGTCCTTATCTTGGGGTTCATTTCGCCTAACATCAACTTATCTGACCGTTTCTGCTTGTCAAAGAAACAACTGACCAATAAATAAGTGGGCTAAAGACTTAAAGAGAAACTTCTCTAAAGAGGTAAGAAGTATGGTCAGTAAACCTTCTTTTAATACTCGTAAGCTTTAGAAAAGATCTTGGTATTTGTCAGGGAAATTTCTCTTATGTTCTCAGGTAACATTTCTGATCTATTCTAGGTCATTTCCTCATCTCTAACAAATAATCAGACTATCAAATTAGATGAAAATTTCTGTGAGAATTTTGGTAAAAATGATATTAAAATAAACTACTATTTAGAGTATTGACAATGTATGGTCATTAATTGAATTATATTTACTAACATGTGTCAATATAATTTTTATTGCAGGTACAAGAGATTTTTTTTATATTTTTAAGATTATTTGTTGGTATTGTGCATAATAAATCTTTCTAAAATGAGTTACCTTTCACATTATCCTTTAAATTAATTATTGCTGATGTATGCGATTTAAGCTTTTGAACATTGCTTTTAATACCCATAACCATTTAAACTATTTACTCATAAACAGAAAGTTCTAGTTCAACCCTATAGCATGAACAGCTTTCCTAATAGAATTTATGAAATAAAATACATTTTGTATTCCCTGGGAATAGTTCTGAGGAAAAGCAACAAATGAAGACAA